AGAAGGGAGGATGGGGAGGAGAAGGCGGAGGACCAAGTTGAGCCCAGGATGCGTCAATGATGCTGCAGTGCAGTAGAGCAGTGCGACGAGGCACCTGACTCTCTAGCACATCGAGTGTCGCTCTTCGAGTTTACTGAGGTCCCCTTTTGGTGTTTGTTGGCCCCCCAGGGCAATCAACGGGGGAGGGTTTCCCCTGAAGCACCTACTGTCAGGCTGGTGTCGTATTTGATGTGCCTAGTGTACACCCTCCCGCCCCAAGCTCCCTCCCCACAAGTCGCATCAGGAGCTTTCCTTTTCCGCTACAGGAGGCGCTCCGCTGAAAGACGAAACCCCCATGGAATAGCCGTTCTGGCGGGATCCCCGTTTGGGGCAGGAGCTGCATCGATTCTCTCACAGCGAACAGTCTGGAACGCGCCAAGGGATGGTCACAACGTTCAAACAAGTGTCTGGTGGAAGTACTGGTTTGAAAAGGAACGGCCACAACCCTGCCACTTGTAAATCCACACGTGTGGCCATCCACGTTGACGAGATAGCGAGAGGCCAACAAATGGGACGCGCGGCCGTTCGGCACTTCCAAGCTCAAATATTGCAGATTCGAACATGTCCCAAGCGAGAGCCAGGACTCAAAAAGGTTCCCTCCTCCGCCCTGGGATCGGCTGCAAGCTTTTTGGCACGGGTGTGCGTGTGTGTTTGTGGTGTGTGTGTGTGTGCGCGTGTGTGTGTGTGCGTGTGTTTGTGTGGGTGTGTGTGTGTGCGTCTGTGTGTGCGTGTGACCGTGTGTGCATGTGTGCGTGTGTGCATGTGTGCGCATGTGCGCGTGTGCGCGTGTGCGCGTGCGCGTGAGCGTGTGCGTGTGCGTGTGTGTGTGTGTGTGTGTGTGAGTGTGTGTGTGTGTGAGTGTGTGTGTGTGTGTGTATGTGTGTGTGCGTGTGCGTGGGCGCGTGGGCGCGTGGGCGCGTGGGCGCGTGGGCGCGTGGGCGCGTGCGCGCGAGTGCGCGTGTGCGCGTGTGCGCGTGTGTGCGTGGCTGAGACATCTCCGCCGCCCTCCGCCGACCTTCCCATCGGCGGAGCCCCGCCACCGACCTCTGCCTCCGCCGGCATCCCGCCGCACAGGGCGAGGCACACGCCGAGTGCGAGCCCTTTTCTGGGATGCTCGACGTGGATCGACGATTCGGCTGGCGCACGCATCATGTCCATCGAACGCCAGAGGTCCGCCTTGAACTCCTTCCGCCAGAAGTACGTAATTAAATAATACGGGCGCTTCGAGGAGGACATCTTCTTTATATACGAAGAAGTAGGTGCGGCAGGCAGGGCACAAACAGCGATAGGCCTTGACATCGCACTGCAAAAGACGGTGCGCCGAAATCGAGCCCTCTCCGGGATGCCTGACATGGATCGGCGAGTTGGCTTGCGCGCGCATCATGTCCAGCCCGTGCAACGCCAGATCCACGGGGCGAGGACACGGAGCGAGGGGAAGCGATGCCAAATGCTGAATTTGGCCTGCCTCCGCAGGGACAGACGCCCGAGAGGTAGGAGTAGGGAAGGGCAGAAGACGATGAGGGCGGCGCCACCAAGTGACTGCGAGCCACGCGTTGCGCTTTTTGCTGCCCAGCCGCCGGGCGCGATATCTGTACGGCGGGCCCGTGTCGTGTGGACACCCGCGTCGGCTCCTGACCCCGCGGGGATCGCTCGACCTTGAAAGATCGGCCGTTCCCGAAACGCCCACCTCGCTCCCCATCGGACGATTTCCTTAGGGGGAAAGCAAACCTACCTCGCTTTTGACCACCCTCGCTTCCAAGAGACACCAAACGATGCCAAATTGCAGCCTGTACTGGTCAGGCCGCTTGACGAGGAGGCGCGTGGTATGGCTTGGTTTTGCCTGGAAGCGAAAGCGGGGTAGGTAATCCACGCTCTGGGATTCCCTGGGGTCGCCCCGCGGCGCCCGACGCCGAGCGCCGCTGGCGGGGCCGCCGCCGGTCGGCACGACACGAGCCTGCCGCACCCAAAAAAGTTTGCGGCCGCAGGCTCGGCGCGCCCACCGCGGCCCTCGGGGGGGGGAGGAGAGAGGGGAGCAGGAGAGGAGGAGGAGGAGAGGAGGAGAGGAGGAGCAGGAGAGGAGGAGGAGGAAGAGAGGAGGAGGCGGGCGCACAGGGAGGAGGAGGGACGACAACGGCACACGCTTCTGTTGCCCCCCTCGCACTGAAGGACCACACCCCAGAACTCATGTCGAGCACCCGGAAGAGCGCCGAAGGAGTGTCGACACGGTGTCGAAACAGTGTCGGACGAGTGTCGCCCGGGGCCCGACACGTGAAAACCCTCGAGTTTCGGGTTGCGGTACTTTTTTGGTGCTCGAAATTCTTCTCGGTGGTCAAGTCAAGGCTAAGAAGTTGGTTGGAACATCATAAGCGTACACACCCACTGTTGACGGTCCGCGTGGAGCGCCATGAGTCTTTGTTTCTGTGCACTCTTCGAGGGGAGGCGAAGGAAGAGGCAGGGGAGGGAGAGAAGGAAAGGAAGGACGAGGGACGGCGAGCAGCGAGGAGGACTGAGAGAAGGAACGAGGAGCACGGAGCAGGTGACCCCCACGAGGACGGCGCGGAAGGAAGGGAAGACGAGGAACACATCCCGCCCCTCCTCTCCCTCCTCCTCTCCTCCGCATTGATCCATGCCCCCCCTCCCCTCCTCGTTCTTTCGGGCGTTGGCAGAACTGGGTTTAGTGGGACCTGGTTTAGTGATGTGTACTGGGGGACCGCCCCGTTCCATTAGCCAGAACTGCCGCCACACCAACCACGGCAGACCTGGTTCAGTGAATCTGGCCAATTTAAAAAGCTCCGGGGCCCAGCAGGGGCCCATCATGAACATGGGCCGATCACCGTGGGGGGGGGGCGGGCGAGACACGGACGGGGGCCCGAGAGAAGAGGCCGAAGAGGTCGAAGAGGCCCCCCCCCTCCCCTCCTCGCTCTCCCCCGTCCCTCCCCGCTGCTTCTCGCCCGTGCAGCCCCTCCTCGTTTGAGCAGGGACCGACCGTCCCGGCATTCCTATAGTCATACCACGAAATGTTCTTAGAACCAAAACTATTCCAATAACAAAAACAGTGTTCTTAGAACATGAGCCCGATGTGTTAAAACAAGACAGTCCCAGCCAGAAATGTTCTGAGAACACTGCGCGGGAGCCACAACAAGTTCTTAGAACATTGTTTGGTGGGGCTATAGGCGAGCCGGGACGCTTCGCCACTGCTTGAGACGCGTTGGTAGATCCCTCCCCGTGCCCTGCCGGCGCTCCCCCTCTCCACCTCCCGCCCCGCGCGCCGCGCCCCGCCGCCGCCGGCGCGGGGCAGCGGAGGGCTCCCCCTCTCTCCGCGCTCTCTCTCTCTCTCTCTCGCGCCTCTCCTCGGTCCGAAGGGGCCCTGGGACACACAAATGAATACACACAAGTAAAAGGATTCCCCATAGTTTCCCATATTTTCTGGGCTCTTGTCTTCCCCGCCCACTTCCCATATGTTCCCATATTCTCCTGGGAGTGGACGATTCTGTGTGTCTGTGTGTTTTTCTCCCTCCTGATCGGTGCCCCCCTCGTCCCTGATGTTAGGTCGCGCCTGTCCCCCTACAAGGGGGGGTTTGGGCGAAAGCTCAAAAATCCCCCCCCACACACAAAAGTACCCCCAACAAATGCCCAAAGATGATCAAAAAAGATCGTCCCCAGACTACTTTTGGACTCTTTTTGAACAGGCCCCCTGTAGAGGGACAAGCCCGACATAACCCTGATGCTCCTTCCCGCATCTCCCCCCCTCTGCCTCCTGGTCGCGCCTCCCCTCCCACCTCCATCCCCCTGAGAGATCCGACGTCTCGAAGCCACCATGCTGCATCGGAAAAAGCACGACAGGAGACCCCATCGTCCTGCGACACGTTCTTCGAGCCGGATCGACCTGCGAGGGACCCCCAGGGCCCGAAGTCGGGCGCAGACGCCCGTTGAGAAAAAATCGCAACGCCAGGATCTCAGGACTCGAGTAGGGGATCGACTACAGAATTGGCGTACCCCAGAATTGGTTCCCTCGGCGAGTGCACGGAAGGCTACGCAGAGTGCTCTACGAGCGTCGCAAGTCTTGTTTGCAGAAGATTCGCCGAGGAAGCGGGGTAAGCCAGAATTCTGCATTCCTACCCTATCCTGATGGCATGAGGTCTTCACGGGTGCTGCCATTGGCCCCCTCCTGCAGGTGCCGTCTGGCAACTGCAGGAGAGGACCACTCCGAAGATGGGCCGATCACCCTTGAAGGGGCCGGCGAGGTAGGAGGGGGGAGAAACGGACGGGGGCCCGAAAGAAGATGCCGAAGGGGGACACGCACGGCGGGCCGAACGGAGGGGAGGAAACGATATTCTGGACGGAAAAATATGATCAAGCATAGTAAAACAAGTAATCCAAACATCGTCACCATACTATGTTTTGACCATGTTTGAATATCCCTCCTGTAGAGGGACAGGCCCGGCTTAGATCGAGGCCCAAGGAACCCGGAGCACCCTGGAGGCAAGCAGGGTGTCTTTCTTGGCACGGGTGTCCTCTGCACCCTGCCATCGCTCGGACCGCCATGCCCCGTGCAGCTTCTGGCTCCGTGCGCTCGGGTCTCGCAGGACGGCCCAGGATGCTCCTCGGTGGCCCTCGCCGAGGCAAAAGTGCGCACGCCCGAGCGATGCCAATTTGTGCACAAAGAGAAGCAGAAGATGCGAAGTGCGGCCAGTCGAGCAGGGGATCGACTACAGAATTGATTTGCCCCTGAATTGATTTTTCTTGTCGAATCCACGGGCAATTTGTAGAACTTTCGCAGATCTACGAATGGTTGACGTAGTTTCTTATGTAGAGTCGACGTGAAAATCAATTTTGGGGGAAGTCAATTCTGTAGTCGATCCCCCAAACGAGCCAGGGCGCAGGCGAGGGCGGGAGCCGGGAGAGCCGCGGAGGCCAGAGGAGAGCGAGCCGGGCACGCGGCGCGCGCCGCGCCCAGAGCCTCACATCGGGGGCATCGCCTCCACCTGGGCGACGATCCACAACGGGTCTTGCGTTAAGTCGGGCGTGTCCCCCTACCGGGGGATTTTCGACGACGAATAAAAAATAGCCAAAACATACTCCAATATAGTCAAAAGAATACTCAAAAAATGAGCCCCGGACTATTTTTGACTATTTTTTGAATTAATGTTCCTCCTGTGGAGGGACGGGCCCGACTTACGTCTTGCGCGAGAGGACGCAGCGACCCTGCGCGGTGGCCTGCCCGGGCCGCCGGAGCGGCACGCCGCGCTGTGGAAGCGAGAGCGCTGCCTGCGCGCCAAGGTCGGTGCAGACGGCCCCGTTTTCTCTGCCGTCTCTCGCCTGTCTGACGATGCCCTGCGTGACCTTCCAGACCTCGTCGGCGGGAGGCATCCCGTCCACCTGTTGAGCAGGGACCGGCCTTCACGGCATTCCTATCGTCCCACCGCGAAATGTTCTCAGAACCCCCAAAAAGTGTTCTAATACCAAAAACTGTGTTCTTACAACTCGAACCCGATGGGTTAAATCAAGACAGACTCCGCCAGAAATGCTCTGAGATCATCTCGTGGAAACCACAAGAAGACTTTTGGAAAATTCGTTGGTGGGCCTATGGGATAGCCAGGACGCTTCGCCACTGCTTGAGCAGAGGGAGACTGTTTTACTTATTTGGGGTAGCGGCTGTTGCCCGGGGGGGGGGGCGGCGGGCGGCGGGTAACGGTAACGGCGGCCGCGGCGTGCGCCCGCCAGGGTGCGTCCGCGCCATCGGCACATCAATTGCCATACCTGCTGAGAAGAGGGGACTCCGCCCTCCACCCCCAAACAACGTACGATCGTTAGCGTTACCCCCGGGGGTGGGTGGGCCCGGTTAACAAGTCAGGAGGCAACTACTGGGAGGCTTTCGTCGGACAAATTCAAGAGGATTAAGCCCCATTTGGGGCCTGTGACGCCAGAATGGGCCTCGGACGAAGCAGGATTAAGCCAGGTTAGGCGGGATTCGCCGGGATTAATCCGGATTAAGCGGGATTAAGTGCCAAATTAAGCCTTATCTCGGACCAGGGCTAAAACAGAATTCGACCTCCCAGGAATGGCATCCGAAAACAAGCGTTACCCGCCAGAGGAACAACAAAAAACGCTCTCAGTAGGTGGCAAAGAAACCTACCTCGCTTTTGACCACCCTCGCTTCCAAGAGATACCAAGCGATGCCAAACTAAGGCCTGTACTGGTCAGGCCGCTTGACGAGGAGGCGCGTGGTATGACTTGGTTTTGCCTGGAAGCGAAAGCGGGGTAGGTAATCCACGCTCTGACTCAGGCAGGCCCGAGCCGGATCGGGTCGAGGAGCCGGCCCGGATCGGGGCCGGGCCCGATCGCCAGCGCCTCGCCGCGGGAACACCGCGACTTTGCAAGGTCGGGCCGCCGCGCCCGGCTCTCGGGCGGGCCCCAGCCGGTGCCGGCGAAGCCTGAAGGGGCCCTGGGACACACAAAGAAATGCACACACGTATCAAGAGGATCCCCCATACGTCCCCATAGTTTCTGGGGTTTCGTCTTCCCCCCCACGTCCCATAGTTTCCCATATTTCCCTGGGGGAGTCGACGATGAATTGTGTCTGTGTGTTTCTTCCCCTCCTGAAAAAGCAGGCAGCGCGGTGTTCCTCGTGCGCTCGGCGAAGCGGGGCATCACAGGGCGCCAGGGCGCGAGCCTTCCTGGGAGCCTATAGCCGTGGACCTCCGCGGCCCCCCCGCACGCACGCGTGATGTTTCGACCGGAGTTTTCTCGGCCGGACGTCGTCCAGGTCTCGTCTCCAGGAGCTTCGGGACCCTCCCTGGAGCGCGTATCTCTATTGTTTCGGCGATGAGGGGCATCATATAGGGGGGGGATAATGCAACGCCTCCCCCCCGCCGTGCGTCAGGTTCGGCAAGAGCGACTACAGGCGGTCCACCGCCACGTCGGGCGAAGAAACTCAAACTCAACAAAAAACTTCCAACAATCTCAAAGCCAGAACGTGCGGAAATCTCAAACTCTAGAAAAACTGCAAAGCATCGCTAAACGAAAACCTGCGAAAATCTCGAACTCAAAACAAATCAAAAAACGCTAGATCAAAACCTGCGAATATTTCAAACTCTACAACAACTTCAAAAAAACTCTAAGCCGAAACCTGGGGAGATCTCAAACCTGAAAAAACTTACACTGGAACTCTGAAACAACTCTTAAAACAACTCTAAACAACGTGCTTTTGCAAAAAAACAATACAAACAACTCTAAACGCCGAAAAACTCTAAGACAACGCTACACTCCAACAATCTCTAAACGCCTATGTTATTCTTAAAAACACAGGCATTAAACAAACTTCTAAAACACATCAAAACAACTCTAAACAAATGTATGACCGCCTGGCGAACTCAAAAAACTCTGGGCAGTTCTAAAACAAATTCAAACTCCGGCTTTAAGTTTGAGATTGTCGCAGGTCGTGGTTACGAGTTTTTGGAAGTTTGTTTTAAGGAGTTTGAGATGTTCGCAGGTTTTAGCTTGGAGATGTTTTGACGCTTCTCTAGAATTTGAGATTTCCGCAGGTTTTGGCTTATAGTTTTTGAAGTGTTTTTAGAGTTTGAGATTTCTGCAGGTTTTGGCTTAGAGATGTTTTGAAGTTTTTGGGGCGGCTGAGTTTCCTGCTGAAGATTTTCCGAAGATTTCGGCTGGTTGTCTCGATGGACCTCCTGTAATAGAATTGCCAACCCTAAGCCGTGCGCACGGCGGTAGTGCCCAGAGCGCCAGTGGGGAGAAGGGGGGCGTTGCGGTTCGCGGCCCCAGCCGGCCGAATCGGCTCGCATCGAATCGGATCGCAGGCAGCTCTGCGAGGGGCGAGCGAGGAGGGCAGAGGGGGAGGCACGAGCAGGCGGAGGAGGGCACACCGTGTAGACCAGGTTTTTGGCCTTGTACTCGTCGATGATCGGCATCGTCTCACTGATGTACGTCTTGAAGCGTTTCCTGATGCTGTCGATGTTGTCGTCCGACCGGCCGCTGGTCTCGCCACGGCTCAGCAGTCGCTTCTCCAGCTCGTCCTCCTTGGCCTCGTTACGGGTGATCCCCTACTCTACAACAGCAATGTGCGAGGTTTCATGCCCGGCCCTGACAACGAGCTGTGACATTCAAGCGTTCACCCAGGTACGGCCGAACATATGATCGAGAACATGATCATTTGAGAAGCCTGGGCCAGCTTCCCGCAAGTTTCTCAAGACACTGCCTGGGCTAAGTGCTCGTGCGTGCTAACGCTGGAGGTGCGAACGCGCTCAAGAGAACGGGCCGGCTTTCGGGCAAGCCGGTCGAGAAACGCCGGCCCAACTTTTCGGGAAGAGGCGTCTTGATCAGATGCCCGACCGTAGTTACAAAACGCAGCAAACGTTTCACCTCCAACACGGCGGCCATAAGGCCCACCAGCAGAAGTTTTCGGGGCTTCCAAGAGGGAGAGTCCAAGAAGGGGGGGGCGCAAATCATGGCCGGCGGCACGTGCGCGGCGCAGGGGGGGGGGGTGCCGGGGACGCATTGAAAGAAGAGGCGCCATGAAATTGGGGAGATACCATGGCCCCGCCATGATACCTAGTCCTCACCCCCCTCTTGGCCGCCCCCGACGTTTGCGGCACCAGAGTGACTGACCCAGGGGCCAGATGGGACTTCGGAAGAACCGCTGGAGCGCGAGAGACCAGGAGTAGGGGAGACGAGGCGAAGCAACAACACCGCCACCAACAACAAGAACAAGTGGACTTCGGGACAACGTCAGCCTGTCCGAGGACACACATCGCTGGCGCGTGCCAAGCCTGTACCCGTCGCTGGCGCGAGCCGCCGCGCGGATTTCGCCACACGTGGGCTGTGCAGGCAGGGTGCAGGCGCAGCCTGCCAGGGGGCCTGCAGGCGGGAGAGAACTGGGCACCGGAGACGGGAGGCCGAGCGTGCCCAAAAGGGGTTCGCCCGTGAACTCCGCGGGCCTCGCCTGCCCGCAGTCGAGCACTCCAACGGAGGCCCGCGTCGAGGCGTGGGGCTGCCCTGTTTGACAAGGACTGGGTAGACCCCCACGTGGTTTTTCTGTACCGCGAGGAGGGGGAGGAGAGAGGGGGAGGGGGAGGGAGGAGGAGGAGGAGAAGTACGAGGGGGGGAGGCACCAATGGCCGCGAAGGACAGGAATCCCCCAAATTTGCGTCACAAGCTGAACGTCACCACATTAAGTATGTGCGCATTTCGCGAGTTTAGCGATTTAGAGGAAAGCAGCGGGGACGACTCTCACATCCGGACCCGCCCCCAGCTCTGATCTGAAAATCAAGCGGCTGGACTGTTTCGCATCGGGAACGAACTGCTGCGCTTGAAATGCATGATGCCTGCATGGGGCGGGGATTCACCTGCTGCTGACAGAAGATCGCCCCCCACGGACCCTGCGGACTCTCTCTCTCTCTCTCTTTCTCTCTCTCTCTCTTTTCCTCTCGCTCTCGTCCTCGCCCTTTGTTTGTATGTGTTGCTTCTCTTTCTATATATATATACATCGATACATACAGATACATATAGATCCATACATCCATCAATCCATCCATCCATCCATCCATACATACATACATGCATACATACATACATACATACTTACATACATACATACATACAGACAGACAGACAGACAGACAGACATATATGTATATGTGAGTGTGCAGATCGCCCGCACACTTACAAATCCGCCACCGTGCGCCCACGGCACGCTGAAGCCGCTGCAGCCCGCCAGCGTGCTGCCTGGCAGGCCTCCCGCAGGCCCTCGGAGCACCTTGCAGCGCCTCTAACGGCATGCGCCGCCCGCCCGCCCCCGTCGCGGGAGCCCCCCCGGGGCAGGGCCGGCGCGCCCCCCGGGGGCCCCTCGAGGCTCTCCAGGGCTCCTCCTCCTCCTCCTCCTCCTCCTCCGCCTCCTCCTCCGCCTCCCTCCTCCTCCTCCTCCTCCTCCTCCGCCTCCTCCCCCTCCTCCTCCTGCCTCCTCCCCCTCCTTCTCCGCTTCCTCCTCCTCCTCCTCCTCCTCCTCCTCCTCCTCCTCCTCCTCCGCCCCCTCCTCCTCCTCCTCCTCCTCCCTCCTCCTCCCCCTCCTCCTCCTCCTCCGCCTCCTCCCTCCCCTCGTCCTCCTCCGCCTCCTCCGCCCCTCCTCCTCCTCCGCCTCCGCCTTCTCCGCCTCCTCCTCCTCCTCCTCCTCCTCCGCCTCCTCCTCCTCCTCCTCCTTCCCACGACGGCGCAAGAAGGCCACCAGGGTGGACCAACACTGCCGCAAGAGGCACCCACTTGCTATCGCTCGGACGTCCATTCCCCGTGCATTTGTTCGACTCCGTGCGTGTATGTTTCGCCGAAGGAGGAATGCACACGTCCCAGCGACGCCAAGAAAAAGGCCACCAAGGTGGACCAACATTGCCTCAAGAGGCACCAGCTGGACCAACATTGCCTAAAGAGGCATCCAACGGACGCCAAGCACACCCCAAGAGGCACCAAAGGGGCCCCAAGACGCTTCCAAGACATCAAGGAAGGCCAGGGGGAGGCCTGACGGGTGAATAACGCAGCAACAAGCCAACAACTGAAGTCATGTTGCGATTGTCAAGCACCTCAGCTCAAGATGTTTCCAGGAGTGCCCCGGAGGAACCAAACATGGGCCTCAAGGATCCAATGAGGATCTCCAGAACCTCTCCTCCAGACAGCATCTGACAGTTCTAGCAGGGCCCCTAGACAGTCCAAGAGAGGTTCAGGATTAGACTGGGCCGATTAAAGCAAACTCGACCACCCCAGAATCTCCCAATAAACTCCCCGCGGCTTTTCTGCAACTACCAATCTCCACAACATCTTCCCGCGAATCTCAGAAAAATCTTCGCGCCAAAAGAATCCCAAACGAGATCTCGAAAAAACTTCGCGGCTAAAAATCCCAAATTCAATCTTGAAAGAAATCTTCGCGCCTTACGACTTTTCATTGTTTACACCATAAATCTGCAAAACAGATACACAACAACTACGATGTGTAGGAAATGTATTGGAGCTTTGTCGGGGATTGTTTTGACTTTGGGGAGGTTTCCCCGGATATATGTTTCAAGCCCAGACATTTTCCGGAGATGTCCTGGAGATTTCTTGAGCCGGGGATTTTCTGGAGATGGTTTGCCAAGAGGGCCCGTGTCGCGTTTCCCATATTGACCCGATCAAAATCCAGGACAGCCCAAGAGGGCCTCAAGATGGCCCAAGAAGGCTCCGAGACGCTCGCAAGACAGCCTCAAGAGACTCCCCAGACTACCGAGGGGGCCCAAGACAACCCAAGACGACTTCAAGCGGGCACACAGCCACCCAATACAGCAACTATATGCCCCAGGCACCTCCGCGAGAACCTCTGAAGGAATACTTACATTAGACAAGAATTGTCACATGTCATAGCTTTCTGGGTGGTGCGCGAAGATTCGCTATACTAGTGCTGTGCTAGCATGGAGGCGGGACTTGCCGCAGGCATGTGGATAGCAACACCACCCAACATTGTATAATATCGTATCGGCGGCACTGCAGTCTTATTTTTAATCAAACCAAGGAGCGTCTCGAGCCTCGTAGTACAGCACTCCACAGACCTGAGCCCCCAACTCTCCGACGTTCTCCTTCCAACCGGTCACGTTGTCCAGGTTTCTCGGGAAGCCGTCAATGAGAAAACAACTCTTCTTACTGGCGACCATCGCCTTCTGCAGCAGCTTGACGGTGATCGCAACAGGGACGATCTTCCCCTCCTCAGCGCGGAGGGGCAGGGTGAGCAGGAGGAGAGAAAAGCACGTTTTGTAGAGGAAGAGAAACAACACAAACATGAACTTTCGGAGGTCCGCGCGGATTTCTTGGCTCGGCACTGGACCCCCCCCCTCTGGCGCGCGGAGCGCGCCAGTGGCGGCCCCGAAGGCGCCGCCAGGAGGAATTGAGCGCCGCTCCAAGCAATCCGCGCAGAGCTCCCACGTGCTGCTTTCCTCCTTCGGGGGAGGGAAGAGCATGTTTTGGGAGGGGAGGAGGAGGAGGAGGAGGAGGAGGAGGAGGAGGAGGAGGCATCGCGACAGGGACATCCCTGCCCTCCTTGATGATCTGCTCGATCAGCTCGCCGTCCTTCGAGTTGGGGTCCTGGCGCTCAGCCCGCAGGCAGTCGCCCGCGGAGATGTGCGCCCAGTCCGAGAACTCCTGCCCTCCCCATACGTACCCCGTCCGCCTCGGGCATCGTCGCCCTCCTCGTCCCACTCCTCGTCCTCTTGTGGGCGTTGTTTGCTCTTCCGGGCTTCAACATTTAGACGAAGCGAGGGGAAAGGAGGGGGGGTCTGGGCCAGTGCTTAACCGATCTGCCTTCACCTGTCGCGCAGGCAAACAAATCGAGGGGAGGGGTCCTGACCAGCCGCCAGAGACCAGCCGCCAGAAGCAGCCAACATCTGGTCGATAGAGTGGGGGGGAGGGGAGATGCCAGGGGCCAGCGCCGACCGGCGAAAGCATTCTGAAAAAAATAACAACCTCCTCTTCCTCTTCCTCATCCTGCTTCTGATGCTTCATCCTTCTCCTCCTCCCCATCCTCCTCTCGGAGGCGACGATAGGGGCGAATAGCCCAGGGGCGGGCATTACACGTATTCGCCCAGGAGCCTTGTCGAAGACATAGATCATCGGCGCCCCAGGATACATGTATTGCTCTCCCCTGGGCTATTCGCCCCTGTCGTCGCCTCTGATCCTCCCTCGCCTCGACGATCTTGGCGCACTGCGTGCCCTTGCCGGCGCCGGGACCCCCGAGGACGAAAAGCACCTTCGGCTTGGGCTGAGCCACGTACGCGTCTAGCCTCACGACGAGCCCAGCGTCATCGTACTCGATCACATCGGTGACCTTTGGCAGGGGAGGAACAAAAAACACCCTAGACCCGATGACTGGCGTCTACTGGACGGCCCCAGGCGTTTACTGAACAGCCCTGCCCTGCTTGATTCCTTCAGTGGGTGCGTTTACTACACGGCTTCGCCTGTCGGGGTGCTTCTTCTGGGGGGGATGTTCTGCCCTCCAGTCCGGGACGCAGAAGGATGTACTAGTACTATGTGTCCTCCTCGGAGGCGTGCGCCCGATCCGAACATACTTAGTACAAAGCACTTGTAGCATATAGTTTCCCGAGCGGTGTGGCCAGAAAGCGTCCACCATGGAGCTTACACGATCAGATTTCCCGGCGCGCGCGTCACCCCCGAGGGGGGGGACGACGCACACACACACACAGTATTAGTATGTTTGGCTGACGCCGAACCTTCAGCGTCGTCGCTGCGTCCACGATCACTCGAATGGAGGCGACGCATGTGTTCGTCACTGACGTGAACAAATCGACAATCTCGATCTTGATTGTTGGAACGTCCTTCCATATACCAGCAATGCCCTTGGCCACGTCTGCGCGCGTAGGACCGTGCTCTGCGTTCCAGTCCTTCAGGGTGGACTTCTCCGAGTGCAAGGCCTCGATGCCAGCCTGATCGTGGGAGTTCCACACCTTGACGCGTTCTTCTATATCATCGAAGAGGCGAGGGAGGAAAACAGTAAGGACCGAGGGTGAGAACGAATCTACTAACCCAAACACATCCACACCTTGAAGTAAGTGGTTGTCAGCTCCCTCAGGCGCTCTGCCATCGCTGAATCACAATCAGCCCCCTTGGCTCGCCCGCCTTATTGGGCCCCAAATGGCTGGAGGCTGGAATTTACACGGTCCCCCTTCTCTCCTCAGCATCCTCCGTCTCTCTGCAGAATCCTCCTGTCGCCTTGAATGCGTGCGCGCAGGTGCTACACTGTGGCGCGCACGATCTAAGCTTGAATGAGGAGTTCGCAATAATGCTATAAAGAGCACAACGACAACCTTTCCCTCGTCTCCGAACATCTAAGCCTCCTAGATGGGGTCGGAATAGATGGGGTCGAAGGATCGCGCCGCATCGCTAATGCATCGCCGATGCATCGGCGATGCATCGGCGACGTCGGCGATGCATCGGCGACGTCGACGTGAAGCAAATCGGGCTCCACATCGAGCCGCATCGGCGATGCATCAGCGATGCGGAGCGATCCTCCGACCCCATCTACTAGGACCCCATCTGGGAGGCCAAGGTGCGTTCGTGGAAGCCAGCCGGAACGAGCTCCAGGGCTACCCTGTCTACAAACGCATAGCTCTCCAAGGAGCTATCCGGGAACATCCTCCAGTCTCCTATGATAGGAGACTTCAGGAATCTTCAGGACTCCTCCTGGAATCTTCAGGACTCCTCCTGGAATCTTCAGGACTCCTCCTGGAATCTTCAGGACTCCTCCTGGCGATTCCATTTTGCTCGAACTGGGCATTTTCGCCAAATGTCGGGCCCCAGTGGCCCTCCCAGATAAATCTGGCACGAAAAAGGGTGCAGAAAGGTGGGTTCCAGGACTCCAGTCGTGATTTCTAGCGATGTTCGATTTTTGTTTCGGAACGTCGGGCCTCAGGGTTGGGAAGGTCGGAGGCGGAGGAACAGGAAAAGGAGGAGGAGCAGGAGGCGGAGGAGGAGGAGGAGGAGTAGGAGGAGGGGGGAAGGGGTGAAAGAGAGCAAGAGGATGGCAGGGGAGTTTGGGTGGAAGAGGCAGCGGAGGAGGCGGAGGAGGAGGCGGAGGAGGCGGAGGAGGAGGAGGAGGCGGCAGCGGCGGCGGAGGGAAGGGGTGAAGGAGAGCAAGAGGATGGCAGGGGAGTTTGGGTGGACGAGGCAGCGCGCGAGGCCCAGCGTCGCTCCTCGTGGGACACGGCGGGCCTCAGCGACCTCCTCGGCGCCGCCCTCGACCCCGGAAGGGGGCCCGCCTCGCACCTGCCGCCCCCGCGCGCCCGTCGGCCCCTCCGACCGGCCTTCTCCTCGCCGCCCGTGCTGCCCGCCCAGGCGGAGAGGGAGAGGAGGAGGAAGTGGACGAGTAGAGAAGGAGGAGGAGGAGGACGAGTAGAGAAGGAGGAGAAAGAGGAGGAGGAGGACGAGGAGGACGAGGAGGAGGAGGAGGAGGAGGAGGAGGAGGAGGACGCGGAGGAGGAGGACGCGGAGGAGGAGGGAGAGGAGGAGAGAATAATCGAAACTCCTCCCCCTCCTCCTCCTCCTCCCCCCTCCTCCTCCTCCTCCTCCTCCTCTCCTCCCTCCTCCTCCCCCTCCTCCTCCTCCTCCACCTCCTCCTCCTACTCCTCGCAGCTTGGAGCGTGCGCGCGTGAGGAAACACAGGCACGGCGGAACGACAATGGAAAGGACAGTTCGTGCATCGACCCTCCTTGAGAGGACGTCGCTGCTGCACCAGCGCCCCCTCGCTAAACAGAGAGGGAAGGTGAGCGTTTTGTTTATTCGGCGTTGCGACAGCAGAGGGGGGGGGGGGAGGGGGGGATTCTGGCTCCGGACCTCTGTTTTGTGCGACTAATTGCAGCAGTGCGTCCACTATGGGGGGGGGCTCCACCTGCTCGAAACAGGCGCCTAAAACAGCCAAGATCTTCTCCAGGGTGGGGGAGAAGGGTGGGGGTGCGAGGACCCGCGCCGATCGGTGAAACAACGATTTTCAATCAAAAAACCAAAAAAACGAGAGTGGGAAGGCTTCTGTCTCGGGCCGGCCTCCGACACTTCCAAAGTCAGTGGGCCTTCCAAAGCGGCCCGCTGGAGCGTCGGCCACTGGCCCCTTCCGGCCCCCATCCGCACGTCGCTCCAGTGGTTCGTGGAAGTCGCAGACGGGAGGATCTCACTCAAGACGAACATTCCTGGAGAGAGCAAGTGAACTCAGGCGGTCGCACGCACGGATTAATTGGGCGTGGATTAGCGACGGGCCCCGCTTTCATGAAAAAACGCAGATTTGGAGTGAATGTGGGGGTCGGGCGCAAGGTCCTGGCGATGGTGGCTTTATGGGCCGTGCAAGCGCGACACATCCTCGATTGTTGTGCTCGGCGGGGGAACCAATTTAAGCTCCCCGCCTGCACCCCTGCGCGAGACATGAGGGTAACGAAGCAAGGGTGCGGGGGTCTGGTGAGAGGCGACGAAGGCAACGTGCGCTGAGGGAGCAAGGCGAGAAGATTGGAATCAACGAAAGCGGCGAGGTGAGTGTCAAAATCTGCTCAACCAGTGTGACATGCGGAACACTGCGCCTCAGTTCTTGGGATCTTGAGGGCCAGGGCAAAATGTGAATTCACATTGTGGGGAAAAGCAAGATGTGAATTCACATGTAGGTTAAAAACATGTGAATTCACATGTTGGAGAACAAGGAAAATCTGAATTCACATTGTGGTATTTGGTATGGGACTGCGTCGGCAAAACATCGTTTGGGAACATACGCGATCATCAATCGCACAAGAAAGACACACTTGCATTCCACTTCGCCGCCCCACGTGCGATATGCAAGAACGCCCGCACGCAATAATGGATGGACGGCGCGTTTGCCAGAGTGGACAACGCGCGGGCACGAACGACTGGCCCCTATATGACCGCCAACATTGGATGTCAATCATACCCGAGCATATACATTAGCGGTACATTGAGCATACATGGGCAATTCAGCCCCCTTGCAGACCCCCTGTTGCGGACCCCTTCTTTCATCCTCCAACAGATCTCCGCCGCCGCACGAGGCGGCACCGGCCGCATTTCGGGGAGGGCACCCCCCCGATCCATGGATTTGGCAACCGCGCGCCAAATCCATGGATCGCTAATCCATGTTTGCGCGCCCCCGATGAAGGCGGCATGCGCGCCCGAACGGGCTGTCACTGGCGCGCGCATTTCCCCTCCCCTGCTCGCGTGCCATCGGTCGTCTTCCCTTGTCGCTCGTTCCTCGCCCGCTCGCTCGCTCCGCCTCGCCTCGCGCCCCCGCTCGTCGTGCGTCCCTCCCTCCCTTCGTGCGTCCTTCTCTCTTGAGTTTGTGTGCACTCCCAGACACAGATCGAGCTGGCTCGAGAAATGGCGCAGGACGCCTGGGTCTAGGGCTCTGGTCGTGATATCTCGATGTTTCGATGTGTTTCGAGGCATCGGATCTCAGAGAAGGATGGCCCCAGGCACGAGTGAACTATTCAGTGCGCGGCTTTAGCGGACCGCGAGGGGGAACAAACAGAAGCGAGCAAGACGCTTCTGCCGCATCGCGCTCGGAGATCCGGGGACCCTAGTGTAGAGGCCTCCTGGGGTCGGAGCAGATGGGGTCTGAGGATAGCGCCACATCGCCAATACATCGGCGATGTATCTGCGATGTATCGGCGATGCACCGGCGATGCACCGGCGATGCATCGTCGACGTCGGCGATGTATCCGCGACGTCGACGTGAAGCAGACCGGGTTCCACTTCGAGCGTCATCGGAGATGCATCGGCGATGTGGCGCGATCCTCCGACCCCATCTACTCGGACCCCATCGCCCGCACCAAAGGTCACTCCGGCAGAGGGTCACTTTTACGCGCAGTCGACTCCAGCCCGCCTCGTCCCCCGAGGCCCGGGGAGAGGAGTCCACCGCGCCAGCGCTCGGTAAGGCATCGGCGACAGTTACATCGGCGACGTTGGCGATGCATCGGCGACGCTGGCGTGGATGAAGGGGCCCAGGGACACACTAATGAATTGACACCACAAATCCCACGATTCTCAATGTTTTCATATTTTTTCTGTAGTTTTGTCTTCCCCCCAGACTCCCCCGACTTCCCATATTCTCCGATATTTTCTTGGGAATCGACGATTCATTGTGTCTGTGTGCTTTTCCCTCCTGAGTGGGGAGCATTGGGATCCACATAGAGCCGCATCACCGCTGCATCGGCGATGCGGCGCGATCCTCCGACCACACTGGCTCCGACCCTATCTGGGAGGGCTGTCGTGCCGACCCGGGCGTCGGTTCCTGACACCGCGTGGATCGTTCAATCTGGAACGATCGGCCATCTTCGAAATGTCAGATCGTTCAACATCGACCGATTCCGGGTCGCCAGCGGCGTTCAGCGTTGAACGCCAGAGGTGGGGTCGCTGCCGGTCGACACGACGCGAACGTGCCGTAGGTAGTCTTCCCAGCAATGGTGGGCCCTATACCTCATTCATCTCCCTGCGGCACTTTTCGAGCCCGATCGACCTGTTATAGTGCCAGGGCCGGACGACGGGCGACAGCGCTGGGCTCGAACAAAAGTTGCAACGCCAAGATCTCAGAGCTACGTGTAACGTCGACCACCCTCCAGCCCGGCATGCCCTCCCAGCACTGGGAGGAAGCGGCCGCCACGCCAGCCCTCGACGACACCGAGGCGACGCCCCATCCCCCTCCTCCTCCGCCTCCATCCTCCTCCTCCTCCTCCTCCTCCTCCTCCCCCTCCTCCCCCTCCTCCTCCTCCTCCCTCCTCCTCCTCCTCCTCCTCCTCCTCCTCCTCCTCCCCCTCCTC